CTGGCAGGCTGACAGTCACATCTGTGGTAGAGACATATTTAAAGTGTTTTGTTTTGTCCTGTAATATTGAATAAACCCCTGCAGGAAGGATCTGCTCTGAAAATGTAAATGATTGCTGGTCGCAGCCTTGTCTAAATGGAGGTTCATGTATGGATCTGATAAATGACTTCATTTGTCACTGTCCAACTGGTAAGTACTGTCTACTTGTGTATAACTAAGTATGTTTATAAAAATATCATGCTTTTAATTTTCTCTATCGTTTACCATGGGAATAGCTGAAAAGTTGATTTCTTGCAGTTACATACAACTTCTTTGTTTGCTTCTCACTTTTTTGTTTAAAATGCACAAAGTTACCAGAGATCTTTGTTCTTCAGAAAGTTTCAATGCAAGAAAAAGGTTCTACCTGTGGCAACTATAAATTGGTATTGCAGATTGGGGTTACAGAAAATAACTGTTAGCATTTTAAAATTTACTTTTTATAACCACGGTTGAAACTGATTGCCAGTAAACCCAGAAAAAAGATACGGCTTTTCCTGTTTTGTAAAACACTGATTTGTCCACTTATACAGTAATTCAGCTTCTGCTTACTGTAGGTGTGAGCTTGTTCTTCAATCAGGTTTTCCACATTTAGCATCTATTTATAACAAATGTTATAAGAAGGGTTCATAATCAGTCCGTGAGAGAGGGAGGTGCCGTAGTCCTTCGAGAGCAGTGGTAATAAAATACTGATTCATTACTTGATTGCGCATCAGAATGCCACAGCCAGGCCGCTTGGCATAACACGTCCAATGTCACATTGAACTGCAAACAACTACAATCCACAAAACAGGATTTACAGATAAATATTTGAAAATAAATCCCACAAAACATAGGTGCTGACCGGACAAGAAAAAACACTTTGGTGTCGAGCAGTAGGTCATTTTGCCCATTTTTTTTTCTTAATATATAAAATAGTAGAAAAGTTGTATACAATATGCAATTCAAGTCATTTTGGTTCAGTTTTTTTAAGCACCAAATCCCAACCACAGTTGCCTCAAGGCGCTGAATAAACAAATAAATAAACACATGTAGTTGAATTAAAAGTAACTTGAAACAGCGCCTGTTATACGGTGTATTTTATGGCCTTATGGATATTAAAAAATGCATCACTGTAAATAATCTGATCTGATTATTTTCTGCCTTTTTCTCAAATTAGATTTTGTCAAAAACAGAACACCAGTGTGTGAGTAATGGTTCCATTACGGTTATAATTTCACTGACAGATTTACAGACAGGTGCTTTTGATCACTTTATCCCGTGAGAAATTTAATTAAATAAATAATCTGTCAAACATACATGCTTCCTACTACAAAAAGCACACAGAAAGAATCAGACAAGATCTCCTGTTTGTGTTTAAGTCCATTCCTGCCACCTTGTCTTGTTTGGAGCTACAGTCCATCATATATGTGTTTTCCAGTTTAGCTTGAATTGGGAGGCAGTTTTTTTTTTTTTTCAAATGTATATGAAACAGAATTAGATTAGAAGAGTTGTAAAGATTATTATTATTATTATAAAGACTGGCCAGTCTTATAAATGTGTTGTTTTAGAGACAGGAAAAAAAAGTTTAAGCAGCATCTTGATGGGTAAACACACACTGATTGGCAGTTGTGCTCATTTGTTGATCGCAGCTGTATTTCCTGGGGGATTCCCAAGTTCTGTGAAGATGGTACTTGTTTAACTCAGCAACTTCCCACATTCTGAAGATATAATATTTTAGTTAAGAAGAAATACCAAAATAATATTGCAATACAGCACTGACGTCTCGCTGTTCCAATTAAAAAAAAAATGCACCAATTTTAAGAAATCGAGAATGTTGTAAAATAAACCAAGGTGTAAATGTGCAAGACCTAAACTGATTCATACAAATGCAGCTAGTTGCATTATTGACATTTAATATGAACTAAAGGCTAAATGGTGTTATGGCAGATTACCTGAACTGAATTGTGTATGCACTCAGTGACCACTTTGTTGGATGCACCTTGCTAGTACCTGACATACCTGAAAGCAGTTTGAGATTATTTGAGCTTTGTGACATGACGTGATATTCTGCTTCAAGAATTAGAAGATGGAAAGAATGTGACCATAAAGGGATGGATGTGGTTTAAAAGATCATCTGTTGGTATTAAGGGGCTCGATCTGTGCCAAGAAAATATTCCACACACCACTGCCTACAAGCCAAAAATGGATCTATGCTTACACCCTACCATTTGAATGTCTGAACAGAAACTGACACTTATCAGACACGGCAACCTTTTTTCTAATTTTCTGTTGTCCAGTTTTGGTGAGCCTGTATGAATTGTAGCCTCAGTTTCCCGTTATCAGCTCACAGGAGTGGCACCCAGTGGATTGTGTGCTCAGTGAGGATCTTCTGCATACCTTGGTTCTGATGCATGGTGACTTTGCCTGTCCTAGCAGCCTGGCCATTCACCTCTGTCCTCTGACATGAACAAGGCACTTTCACCAAGAGAACTGCCGCTCTTTTTTGGACCATTCTCTGTAAACTTTAGACCTGGCTGTGTATAAAATCCCAGTAGATCAGCAGTTTCTGAACTGCTCTGCCCATCTGGCTCCAACAACCTTGCCATGTTCAAAGTCATTTAATACACCTTTATTCTCGATTCTGATGTTCGGTTTGACGTTAAGCAGCTCTTCTTGACTATGTCTACGTTCCTAAATGCATCGAATTCTTACCTTGTAATTGATTGGCTAATTAGATAGCTCTGAACAGTTATACCTAACAATGTGGCCAGAGAGTATAGTTTGTACTGTACCATGTTACCTAACAAGCAGATCATTAATGAAGGCTAAACCCAAAACCGATTTGTTGGAGGTGTTGAACTACTCAATGTAAATGCGTGTTTCATTAGAATATGTTGTGGGTATGAATTTTGAAACCAGAAGATTTTTTTTATTTATTTTTTTTCCATTCATCTGAGGACTGAGCCACTAGTAGGTGTCAGATAGGATAGGGAGTCCCACTTGGAGATGGTGACACTGTAAATGTGACATTCCTTCATGCAACATTAACCTCAGAGTGAACTGCATGCACAATTGGTTATTAAACACTTCTGAAACACTCTGTTGGAGGCAATAGCTGTCCATTAACTAGCCAAGGCAATGCATAATTTAATGGGAAAAAGGGTAGTTGGAAGGTCATCAGATGTGCTGGTGGAAAGTAAGCTGGTCTGGATTCAGGTTACAGTCTAAAGAAAGTGAAGTCCACTTCTAGCTAAATGCATTACACAATCCAAGAGAACTGACGGCAACTTCACACAGATATTTGCGATGGAAATATAACTAGACTAGCACTATCATATTTTTTCAGTATTACTCCATATTAGTTCTGCCCATATTAAAAGGTGATCTATTTTAAGACTTTTCCCATTCATATTTATCTATTTTTGGAAACGTTTAATGCATACCAGTCTCCAAATCTGTTCTTTATTTGCAGCAGTAGATATTGACAGAGGTATCTATCAGTGACATGCAGATGTGCGTGTGTAGGGGTAGATAATGTGATATAGATCAGTCCAGTGCGGTTGGTCCCTGTCAATGATTCACTCAATTAGCATACTGCATAGCAGGTAGATTGCAAGGAGAAAAATCAATACGTCCATTAATCTGCTGAATAAAAGCTGTCTTTATCTAATAAAACATACAGCCATAAAGGTGTGTTGCATTTTGTGTGTTTTATGTATTCAATGCTTGTGCCTTGATTCCTCAAGGTTTTGCTGATTTTTGCTTTTGCATTGTTTCAGGGTTCAAGGGGAAAGATTGCTCTTTGGATATTGACCTTTGCTCGTTTGGAATGTGCAGTGAACATACATTAAAATGCACCAAGACCAAGGATGGACAGAATTTCTCTTGCACGTGTGAAAGAGGTGAGCAAGTCTTTTAACAGGTTAAAAGTAAGCACACAAATCTGTGTTTTGCCTGCTTATTTGTCCACATAATTACAGTGAAAAAAATTGCATAAAAATGAAATTGCCTCCACTGACTCACTGGTAAATTAAGCTTCACAAATGTCAGTTATCTGCAAATGATTATTATTTCATTAGAAAGATCATCACTTCATACCTTACTTTACTGCAGAAAAAGTTCTTCTTTTAGATCATATATTAAAATTTGCACCTACGCTGATGCATTATGTTTTTTAAGTTCCAAACAGTCTGATAAAAAATGCTGATTTTCAAAGGATAATGTCACGGTTTCTTAAAAAAAACAACAACTTAATTTTGTTTGTGTGTCAGTCAAATCTCTTGGATTCCCTTCCATGTGGATGTCACTGTTATCACAGCATGTCGCTGCCAGAAGTGACAGGGATAAGACAAGAGTAAGTGGAAGGGGCTTGATCTCTAAGATACTCTGAAGCTTGCCAGGGTTATCCAGGCTTTAGAGACTTGCAAGTCAGTAGCGTGTGTGAGTTTGGTACTGTGTAAGTACACACAGGGGGAATCATGCAGTTTTTATTTCTGGATGCAGTTAGGGTACTTGGAATAATAAACATTTGCTAGCCATACCAGTCATAATTCAGCCAACACTAGTCCTCAGCAGCACCTCTATCTCTGCAAACGAATGGTTGTTACATAAAAGTCCATGTAACCTAATCAATAACCGTAACTTCATTACCCCCGTTGCATTTATGCTCGGCAGATGTCACAGTGAAGGATCGTGAGTGATTTCTTATGTAAATGCAAGCAACCTGCAGCTAGCTGCTCTCCCTAAAACACTTCTCAAGGGCAAGCTGTGAGATGCTGTTTTGTTTAGATATTTCTTGTCGACAGTCTTGGCATCCATATTATCTAATGCTTTTGAGCCTAAGGTGTTGTAAAACATGTTACTCATGCCCCTCACTAAACTCACTATCCCACGCTGCCAACTTTTTGACCTAATATTTAGTACATACACTAAAGCACACCCATCCGTGGTCTGAGAATGAACTCAGATTGGTCGATTTTGCATGCAAATGTGTAATTTCTATATGAATAAAATATGAAAGTTGATTGGGAAATGTTTCATTTTGCTCTGGCATTACATTAAGAGAGTTTAGTGAATTAAGTTATTTAACTCAGGATTGTAGAACACAGCAGCTGGGTTTGTTTTCTTCTGTTTCTCTTCGTTTTAACCCCGTGACTTTTATTGTGCGACCTTATAAACTTCTTTTCCTGCAGTAAGACAGATTCCTTGTCCTTTTAATCTTTGCTAAATTTCTAATTGTGAAGGGCATCTTCAGACCGTTACATTTGGATAACTGTGTGTGAAACATTGTGTACACTCAAACAACTACTCTGTGGCAGATAAGTGGGACATTAACCCACACACAGCTTGTGTAGCAGCAGAAATAATGTGCTTAAAACACTGGCATGTTTTCCTCTTTGTAATGGCCCGCGTGAGTGTGCTTACATGTGTGCGCTGATGCATGTTATTTGTTTTATGCGGTTCTCTTTGTGTATTGATTGACTTTGATCTTAAAAATCACTGGATTTGGCTTGTTTAATGTAATAAATCAGAAGGGCAATGACTGCCTCTTATTAAACATGATTAAATGATCCAGTGAGCTGAGTCTGCATGTGCCCAGCAAGTTCTTTGAATCAATACGAGCTTTGAAAACCAGCTTTTGTTTGTGAAAACAAAGTCATGCTGATCCTAATTGACTGAGAAATAAAACCAGCCAAAAAGGATTCCAATAACGCTTTTTTTCTTCTTCTTTCTACATATGCTGCAGGGTTTGGAGGGTCATTTTGTGAAGTAAATCTTAATGAGTGCCAGTCAAACCCATGTCAGAATGGTGGCATTTGCGTGGATGGCATTGACATGTATCAGTGCTTATGCTCAGAGGGTAAGTTGTAATGCAATTATATGTCCCAATAGTCAAGATAATATGATTATATTGCTTATTCAGACTTTGTTGGTTTTTAAGTGGGCAGTCAAGCAATTGCAGCCCTAAAGTTATAACCGTGGTTTAAATGAAATAGCTATTCAGAAACGCTTTTACATTCTTTTCTTTTTTTCATTTGGAGGTCGTTTTCTTATTCTTAGGGATAAATGGGCAAGCAGAGATGAAAAGACATTGACTTATTTCCACTGCAGCTGTGATTCAAGTGATTCACGGAGCGAGGCTTTTTATTTTTTGCTACAAGGAAAACTCTTATAAAAGTATCCAGGAGGCAAAATGAGGGTACCGTCACCATTTGTGTACTTTACTGTAGACTGATACTTACTGTAAGACATAACACTTTGTTTAAACAGAGTTGAATGTGGTAAAGAGTTTTTCTTAATTGCTTTGATGCTTCTTCTGCCTTTTTTAAAGTAGCCGAGCTCTAATTTCACAGCGATATCTCCTTCAGTTTTAATCTCGGGAATCAAAACATCTGTAATAGTTTACTGTATTTTGAATAATTTTAGCAATTGCAACACATATTTTTATCTACCTTACAACAGTTTCTCCAAAATTCTCATCTTATGAGCTCATTAATGCGTGAAATGAACTGAACCACCCCCTCCAGATTCCTCTCCCCTGCACAAAAAATTGTTTCACTATGTCAGAAGAATGCACGGCACATTCAGTAAGTTTATTGCTTTCAAGTGAACAGTGGAATTCTTGTGCATTGCATTGCAGCGCAGACTCTTTTAGATCTATTGAATTTGTCCTGAACAAAAATGAAATAACTAGTGTTATCCACACAGGCCTTCACGGAATCTGCAAGCACTCAATTCCAGCACAACTACATAAGATTATTGTTCCCTATCTCATTTGTCAGGATAGAATTTTGTCAAAATTGAAACGAAGCTAATAGAGTTAAGAGCAGAATTCAATTAAAATCTGTGTAAAGGTACTGTACTCTCCCCAACAGCTGTTTTTTTTTAACCATACAAAGCTGATTGCTAGCTTTACTCAGGATAATATTCTGTTAAACATTTTGAATCTCCTGGTTTGCAGTTCAAGGTTAGCAAGTATTTGCTTAGATTTCTCCGATCACATAAAATCATCCAATCAGAAATTGTCACGTGTGTCATTAGTGTAAAAGAAATAAATCACACCTATTTTTCCTGTAATTTCTTGGTCCGGTTGACATCTTACCTGTGAGACATACCTCTGATTAATCTGTGATTGTGGGTGAAGCCTGTTATGCATTTTTAATGAAGTCAGGATAATTGTCAAATTTTATGACTTGGAGAGAGGTGGAAATTGGTTCCATGGTCAGTTTGAGAAATGATGAGAATTTGACCTGCACCGATGGTGCTGATAGCCAAGCATTAGTCATGGGCCTCCTGTAGCTGCAGTGTGTGACAGTGCTAATGATAGTCATTTTGTAGCGTGACCACACGGTGGAATATATTTATGAGGGACTAAAATGTCAGAAATTGGCAGCATTCACTTTTACATGATGACTTCAACCTTTTTATTTTTTTAAATATCAAATGTAGTGAGATAACTCAGAATTAACCACCATGAAAAAAAATCATAAACAGGTGAGCACGCAGAGTAAAAAAATACATCTTATTTTCCTGTGGCACAGTGGATTCTCTACCTTGTTAACTTGTGGAAAAAGTCATGTAAAATTAGATGAAAGCCATAAATTGCTTTGGGGTGTAATTTATTGGTAATTAGTATCTTTTCAAGTCTGGTGTTTACTGACATTCACACACCATATCTGATATGGGATTTTTGCTTTTCTTTCCATACGAGGACTTAAGGGGCTGAACTGTGAAATCAACTATGATGAATGTGTCTATGGATACTGCACCAATAACTCCACATGTATTGACCTGGTTGCAGACTATGAGTGCATCTGTCCTGCGGGCTTTGCTGGCGAGTTATCTGTGTTATCATTTTCACAGTGGGCCTTGTGAACATAGCCTAGTTCAATGAATGTTAAACAGCTATAACCATTAAAATATCTGGCTTTACTAATGTAAGAGTGTATCTAATTGATAATTAAAAATTCACACATATAAGCTGAATATTGGATAAATCTGTCTACATATAGAACATGTGTTACAGAAATCCAAAACAGCACTTTATTCTCTTAATAAGCACAAAGTGCAAACATTTAAATTACTTTGGGTAATTTCCCTAACTAATACATGTTCATTTAGTTTTTTAAAATTAGAATATTAATGAAACTTTCATTCTAACCCATATATGTTTAACAAAGAAAATCCAAACATATTTTTCAATAAACTATGTGTGCTTTCAGCTGTGAGAAAAAAACTTGATAGACACAAAGTGCAAAGATATGGCAATTAAACAGCATTATCTCCCCTACTGACTTCATTACTAAAACACACATATCTCACTTTAATGGTCTTTCCTCCCTACAGTCAAATTCATTTGTGTGTCACCTTGTTGAGACGTTTCTGTATGTTTCCAGTCCTATCGTTCGTCATTACCTTGATAAATTAACAATCTTGTTAACAATGTTTACCTTTTCAGGAAAAAATTGTTCATTGTCCGACTCTCCATGTACACCAGACCTCTGCAAAAATGGAGGAACCTGCTCCTACAGCTTGACTGGGGAAACGCAGTGCATTTGTCCGGCAGGTATTAAACGAGCCTTTTTACACAGCAGACTGGCATACATTTATTTAATCTTTGTTTTGACATATTGATCAGACATACTCATTGCTTCAGTCATTAATCTATAAATGTTGAACAGTGGGCTTCATAAAAAATAGCATTAAGTTATTTAATCGATGTAGCCACACTGAGCATCACTTAATTAGACGCCCAATCCCTTTTGTAGCTTCAGTCATTAGTGCACATTAAAACATATCAGTGTTGTTGTTTTTCTCCAATTGAATATCATTAGAAGCCAATATACACATATTCAGATTGGTGAAAAGGCTGACTGTATGTTTTTCTGTACTATTTCTGAAGTCTCTGTTTGGCTTTAGTAATTTATACGCTGACTGGTTGAATTATGTAAGTCAACAAGGACTAAAAATCCTGGCAATGACATATTTACATGAAATCACAATTCATGATTTTTGACAGATGTGGAACAGCTTACTGTACACAGCACATAGCATCAACCATGCCTTTGATCCCACCTCTTACAGGATACCTTGGCAAAGATTGCTCCTCATTGGTAAACCAATGTGTGTCAAATCCCTGCGACCCCGAGGGAACCATCCTCTGTGAAAAGCTGGAAAATACTTATAGATGTGTGTGTCAACATGGGTACACTGGGCGGCACTGCAAAACACCTATAAACCACTGCGTAGATGGCCTGTGTCAACATGGTTCAGCGTGTGTCAATCTATCAGGAGGGTTCAAGTGTGATTGTTTACCAGGTGGGTTCATCACTCTGCAGGGGCTTGTTTCAGGTGCGGCATTTCCTTGAATGAATCATGTATATAGCAGACACACTCCCAGTTTGAGCCTTTCACTTGTTCAGCTTTCTTCTCTGTGGGAGTCTAATCTCTTTGGCCTTAAGCAACAACACATAACAGTCTTATGAAATGTGTAAGTCAAGGCTCAGTTCATCAGGTTGTGAGCTGACTTCAAAGCAGTGATGACGTTTAGGATTCCTCTATGCCCACGTAGACTCCACAAGTTATCCTTTAGCAATGTATCCCTTTGATAAAAAACAAGTAAGCACATCTATTATTATAACATGAAATATTTCAATCCGAAATTGCAGTCATTACTTCATTTCTATTTGATAAAAAAATGCAACCTGCACAGGTGATTGCCGCACTGACTGTACTAGCAGTGGCCACAAAGAATTGTTATAACAAATGTTTAAACCTCCAGATCACACTGATAATTTTGGTACTTAGTAAAATGTTAATAAAATACGACAACCTTTGCAAATTGTTTAGAAATGCTAAAATAATTTCATTAGCAATCAACTGCCGTCTACCTACAACATCCCGAATGACTAATTTCCTTCTCTAAGAAGTTCTTTCATAGCTTTAAGTGAACAGTGTGGAAGGCACTGAGGGTTCATTGCTTGTATGAAGTGCTGTGTTTTCATTTGAAAGTAAAACCAGTTGGTTTTTTTTTGGTTTTTTTTTTAAACAGAAGAAAATTGTAGTTATAAAAAGCCTCAAACCAAACATGCTCATGACAAACATCTTACATTTTTAATGCATGTTGATTTTATGCTTAAAAGGTGCACTTTGGGGTTTTCTTGTAAAAAGGCTTATGTTTTCATTAATTATTTCTCCTATAACACACTGCAACAATAACTGCATCTCTTCCCTTAACATGAATTTTATTTAACCCTGCTTTGCCCTTGCTCATGTGTGCACATGTGCAACCTTGCACAATAAAATATATGCAGGAAAGTCCCAAAAACACTGTTTTTGTCCAAATTTCCACATAAATATTTACATTTTTGTTTTTCCTTAACAATGCACTCAGTGTACGTTTTGTCATTTTCTCGAGTTATAGAGATAAACAATATAACTTTCAGAGATTAAAAAAGGGGTATGTTATCAAGCATCCTAAAGGGATAACTTTAAAGAAATGCAATGTAAAAATGAGAGATCCCATAGAGTGTCTCACCCTTTTTCCACAGGTTTAACAGGCCAGTTTTGTGAGATAAACATTGATGACTGTGAAAAAGAGCCATGTGGAGTCCTGAGCATTTGTAAAGACACTTTGAATGGCTACAATTGCTTCTGTGCACCAGGATTTATTGGTAAGTGAAGGCTATCTTGAAGTTATTCTTTGTTAAAGTGGCATTTTATTCACAGAAGAAATTTGTCAACATGCAGTCCTTCTTTTATATTTTCTTAGGAAATAATTGTGAGATTGAAGTGAATGAATGTCTCAGCCAGCCTTGTCGCAATGGAGGCTCCTGCGTAGATGAGCTCAACTCATTCAGCTGCCAGTGTCCCTCTGGGATCACAGGTATTTTATATGGTTCTTACCATGGCTGCTCAAACTTATATGTGACCTATGTAAATAAAGCTGAGCAAGAGTCATTCGAAATAACTGGCAAATGTCTATAAACATTAGCAAGCATAGTGAAAATATAATATCCATATATTATGTAATTTATTGTTAATGCAACACGGAAAATGTATGTTTGTTTTTAACACAATGCCATGAATGTAAGATCATATAAATTTAATATACAAATATGTATTTTATTCTTGTTCTGTTTTATTACTATATATTTACAGCTTCCTTAAAATGTATGTTTTAAAATATTTATTAAACAGTGCTAGCAGTTTGATTTGTGATCCAATTTCGAGAGAAAAAGTGTTAAGAGTTTATTGCCCACAGCTGAAGTATGAAAATGATCTTAAAATGCATAAAACTTTACAGGCTTGAGGTTGGATATGGTGCTTCTGAAGTTTCACTGACTGTATTTAATGTCTTATAGCCATAGCTCTTGAAAAATGTTTCCTTAAACAGGTAATACAGTAAGTTTAAATTGTAATGCTAAAATTGTGTAAATATTTCCTGTATTCCTGTAAATGTAATTTTTGGATTTTTGGAAACAAATATCTTTGGATTTGATGCCTCCAGATGTGGCTATTTTTAACATACAACAGTGTTGAGTAACATAAGCAAAGGTAGTGTTTACTTTAACCCAACTACACTCTTGCTAATCAAAGGTATAAAAATGTAGTCTGTGTTGTCAGAGGAGAGCCAGAGGATGTTTATCCTTCTGAGAACTTCAATGCTGCCATTACAATTTTCACAGATTATTTAATACATCTGTGCAAAGTAGAAATGTTTGTTTGGTATTGTCATTAGCACAATAAGGGATTCATAAACTCACAAGATGTCAGTGTTTATCTAAATAAAATCTAAAAGACTTTGATATTGACATTTCATGGGTTTTCTGAACTGAAATCTAGAAGAAACTTCATAAATTTTACCAAATACTGACTTGAAAAGTGTTATTCTCTGTTTGTAATTAAAGACATAATTGAGTCACCAAAAATCAGAATAAATTCCCAGAATATAATAGAACATATGTCTTAGAAAATCTGCTTTAATAAAATGTTATGTAGCATTCATTACTGGACAAAAACTTTGAAAAAAAACCCACAAAAACTTTGGATGTCTCGACTGTGTTAAAGAGAGATCACTTAGATAATTATTTCTGGGAAAGCTGACCATCACTATGGGCAGCAAGATGTGTTAATGCTTCCATCATGCAAATCTTTAGAAAAGATCCACAAAGGAGAAGATGAGGTTAAAAAAACAAGCTCTATTGTTTATAGTGTTAGCACAAACAGTACACTGTAATTACATGGAATGTTGGTGTAATTCAAAGACCCGTTATCATTTTGGCATTTCACACTATGTAACAGCCTCCTCTAAAGCTTACAGAGAGTAAATGTGTGAAACAGCGATAGTGAAGGAAAAAAATCATCTTGCTGCTTGGTTAGTTTGCTGCTAATCTGCTCTCTATTTTGAGCAAAAAACAAGGACAGAACAGCAAGTCAATAGTCTGTATTCTATAGAATGTGTGTGTGCCCATCAATCATTTTATTATGTACACCTGCTCATGTTTGTTAATGCAACTATGTAGGCATAGTCAAAATTACCTGTTGAGCATACATTCATATACACATTTAACCTTCATGCCAAATAAAGCATATTTCTTCCCTTCAGTCAAATCTGTGCTGTGTGGCACTTTTTGACCATTTGTGACTGCTGCTGCTTGTTAACATTATAGGCGTCTACTGTGAAGTCAACATAGACGAGTGCACGTCCTCTCCCTGCCTGCACAATGCCACTTGTGTTGACCTAGTTGATGCCTACAGATGTCTCTGTATGTCTGGCTTTGCAGGTTAGTGAATGCACTTTGTGTCAATACTTCTGTAATGTGTGATGTGACATCCTATATATGTATTTATTTTGTATAATGTGTGAATAGTTTTCCAGTACAAATAAACAGAGAAGCAATAAAACTTCACAGAAATGGGGGTTGTGGACGTGAACATGTCTCTGAGGTTGAACAAGTACTAAATCTGCAGCAGATCTTGGGCTATGAAGCACTGTAGATATGTTTATGCTAACAGTTTATAGTTCAGACTCGCACTAACATGTGAACATGAATCTACAGCCATAGTCATTCCTCTGCTTTGTTGTATTTAGGTGTAAAATGGTCATGGTTAGTTAGGAGCAATTAGTAGAGCGGTGTTACGTTTGCACTCATGCTCTTATCCTGTAGTCCTTTTTGCTTTAAATGTGGTGCTACGATGCTCACTGTTTATAGTTTCAAAGTTGACTGTAGATTAAACCACAGGTAAGACTCCCAAACTTAAAGGTCAACCACAACAATGGCTTTTGAACTGTTTCCTAGCAATTTGCTAATAATTCTCACAGAGCAGGATTCACAGTGCAGACCCAAAAATAGAACTGGTGCAGTGCTCAATCCTGTGAAATCTTACACGCACAAAGGAGGTGATTTCTCTTCTTTCTAAAATTCCTAAGGATTATGCATTTAAAACTTTTTTCTTTCTTTTTTTTCTTTTTGCATGTTGACAAATGATATGTAAAATAGAAAGAGGATGTTCTTGCTGCTCCAGCTACGTTGCTGCAGCACAGCAGGAAACCCTTTATGGTATTATAGCTCTGTTTAGCACTTCTTTCATTCTCTGTGTGTAGCATTAAGGTCCGCAATATCCCCTCCCCACAAAGAATGCCAAAACCCCAGATATTGCAGGTACATGTTGTGTATCCACATTCAATTTGCTTTTCTTCGTCAGATGAAAGATTGATGTAAAGTAACAGCAAGAACATGCGGTACAGCATAGATAATAATACAGAAAAGGTCATTTTTAATTGGTTGAATTACTGAATGTTTACGTCGATCACTCTTCGGCATAGCATATTTATCAAGTTATGTTCTTTTCCGTCAAAGGTACAACATGTGAACTCGACATTGACGAGTGTGCTTCATCTCCCTGCAAGAATGGAGCCACTTGCATTGACCAGCCTGGTAATTACTTCTGCCAGTGTGTGGCTCCATTTAAAGGTAATGAGCACTGAGGGAATGGGGACAAAAAGCAAAGTTAATTAAATTTACATACTATTATTTTCACCTGTCTGAACTAACTTCACATGTCTCAACAAAATTTGTAAGTCTTTATTCTTAATCTGTAGTTAAATAAAGAACTCTTGAATAACTAGTCAGGTATAAGCCACGGTTGATGCTTCCCCCAGCCATGTGACATCTGTTATTCTCACATGTCCTAAAACTCTTTAACTTGGTGTTTTTTAAACCCTAACCACAATAAATAGCTAGTGCAAATAAATATGAGAAAACAGTGAAATAGGGCATGACCATGACACTTTAGGCTCACTGTTGTGTTTTATGTCAGTGCCACGCCACCTGCCTACTGAAACACTCTGTAAACTAATAACTGTTTTAACTTCATAATAATAATAACTTGTTATTATCCAAATGGCTCTAGATAGTTTACACAACATTTATAAACCATTTTTAAATATTAGATACAACTTTACATTAACTTTATAATTATTTAATATGTGTTTACTGAAAAATTATTGGGAAAAATTAAGAATTACAATTTCATTGTCCAGTAAAGAAACAAACAAAAAACTAAACTGAATCAAATGAAAACAAAACTAGAGTAAGTCAGTCAATTTACTATTAAAGTGTTACCTTTTGTTAACAAATAAATTTTAATACATTTTTCACAAATATCTCTTTGGATAAGTGTTGAAGTGATAAAATTCTTTAACCAAAACCTTTAATGTTAACTTTGCTGTGACGTGATACTTTTATGTTCTGCAGACACCTTTTGCTGGTCACTATGCAACAAATGCACAATTTAGACAAAAGCAATGAGTCACCCCTCTTTGTCTGTGGATTCAGGTGTTTTAAGTCTCATAAAATCACGGATGTAGCCATGTAGTCTACTTTTGAAAATATCTGTGAAAGTTTGGGTTCTAAAGTACGGAAGAGGATTAGGGCCACTGGGGGGGAAAAAGTCAGAATTCTGACTTTAATCTCAAAATTCTGACTTTTTTCTCAGAATTCTGACTTTTTTCTCAGAATTCTGACTTTTTTCCCAGAATTCTGTCTTTAATCTCAAAATTCTGACTTTAATCTCAGAATTCGGACTTTTTTTCCCCAGAATTCTGACTTTAATCTCAGAATTTGGACTTTTTTCTCAGAATATTTTTCCCAGTGGCCCTAATCCTCTTCCGTACTAAAGAGCCCAGAGCCTGGGTTCTAATAATTTCTTATGTTTATTTTTTACGTTATGTTTTACACTGAATTCTTCATAATTTTGTAATTATAGTGTGTTATGGTTTTATGTAATTTGTTGTTGTAATTTTGTTTGTGTATTGTGAATGCAAAAGTTCAACAAAGAAACAAGGGTTGAAAATTAGAAAGCTGTAACTCTACATGCAGCGCGTCAGTTAACTATTTTAAACTGCATTGTTCATTTTTTACATATAAAAAGTGGCAGACCACATATTCCAAACCTCTGGAATTAACATCAGCATAGAAACTGTGCTGAGCTTCATGGCATGGGTTTACATGACGGCCTATTACTTTTATCCATGACTGGTTGTCAGATGCATTACTGCATCATGGTATTTTTTATCATGTTTTTATCGTATTTTTTTATTTATTCATTTACTCAGTCATTTCATTTTCTCAAATAAATCAATAAATATGTTAAAAAGTAATTTTCACATTTGATTATTGATACTATATCCCCACATAAATGAATAAGAAAAGATGAGATAATTATATCCGCATAATGATGAAAAAAAAACTTTTTTATGTTGAGTTTTGGCACAGCTGGGTTTAAATCCCATTCTGGTAAATATTTTAGTTTTTAATATATTATTAATCCACATGCTGGTCTTATAAGAGATGCACTGCTGACTGTGCGTAATACATTTCTAAAACTGGGATTTCTCAAAAACACAAAACGGTAAAACTTTATTATGTTTGACGAAAAAAGAGAAAAAAAAAGAGAAAACATTTACTTAGCTAGACTCTTTTTAGCAATTCATCCTAAAAATCAGGCAGCCAGTCGAGAAGGACCTCAGTAAAACCCAACAACCACTTTGACAGATCTAATGAGCTCATTGGCTGTGAGATCATCCTAGAAGGACAACAGTCAGGGCAGTATTTCACAAATTTGGGATTTACAGCAGAGTCGTCAGAAGAAAAAAGACTTTAAAAAAAGGCACTTCAATGACATACTGACAACATAAGCAGAAAAATTCAGAGCTCTGATGAAAATGAAAGTGTTCCAGTGTGATTCAAAAAACTGTAGAAAGTAATGTCAAAAACAAGTACAACTGATTACCCTTGTAACACCACTTCAGTGTACAGTGTGGTAGTGGCCACTCAGCATCATCAGTGTGCAAAGCTACTCCTTTATACTATGACAGAAAGAATTATACAGTTCATGAAGTCAAATGCTAAAGCCATTTCTGAGAGTATTTCTCAGAGGGTGAATGATTAACTCACTTTATATCTGAGGATTTCAAGTGATTCAATGTATCAAGAAAGCCATGGCTCTGTGGAGCTTTAATTTCACCCACTTGTACCGTACAATGAAAAAGTATTCTGAAATGATTAAATATTGCACAATTTAGCACTGCCACTTCTTTCCAAAGGAACATACTGATGACAAAGAAGAAGAAAATTAATATATCGGAGAAAAGTTGTACTACTGTTTACCAAATGATAACTAACTGAGAAGCTGTCACAGAAGAAGAACCATTTATTAGAAGCATTTGTAATATCAAAATCAATATTTTCACCACATTTATGTGTAAAAAGTTAAAATAGCCATAACTACACTTCAGATTATTTCATAATTCACAGATCAACCAGCTAATCAGCTGCTAGCTCAGCCAAAGTGCTTCTTATATATTATTTGGTATAAGAAACCATTTGGACTCAGCAGTTTCCTGACAAATAAGAAACTGATTCGACTACAACTTCACTCATTTCCTTCATGTGATTGTTTTACAGAAACGATCTCAGTAGGATGCACCACCACTGCTTTGTCTATTTTTGCATGTTTTGCAACATTTGAAGATTTTTATCATCTGCACTGATCTGGTTAATTTTCTGCACTGCTTTTTATAATTATTTTATTTTACTTTCTGTAGGCTCAGGAGAGATTAGCCTCATGCACAATCTGTCTGAAGTGATTTTTATCCACTTTCATTTTTCTGTGTAGTTCTGTCAGTTTTCACAATCAAAGCTGTTGTTAAGTTGCTCAAACATGATGCAAATGGCAGTATTCAATAGGACATTAGCAATGACATTGAGGGTTAAGTAGCCACATGTGTGCTTTTATCACTAGTTTTAAATCAGCATGGAGCATTGTTGCATTGAATGAGGAAATTTTGTGCAAAACTCGTTTTGTGTGAGTACAAATATATATTTATTTTTTTAAATATGTTATGTAGTATTGTAACAGCTTGAATGTTTGTAGAGTTAACATAATGTTTGTTACTTTACATGTAAATAAAAAAGAATGCAACAGACCATAAAAAAAAAAAAATCAAATGTTCTGCCATTTTAAAATATTAGCTTATTTTAAATTTGATCAAAAGGTTAGAAAAGTACGTGGAGGAACATTATCCAGTAAATTAGGTCAGTAACCTGATTGCATATAAAAAGAGAGGCAGAGTTTCTAAGATATAAAGACACTCAGGGGTTTACTAGTCTATAAAAAACTGTCTATAAGTTGTGGAAAATTTTCAAAATAATTTTCAGCCTTATTAATATCGCATCATCTACAGTATAAGGTGTCACTGAACTATTCTTCTTAAATTAGTAAATTTCCTTAGATTAACATTTGGTGTGTGTTCTCAATTCTATTGTAGGTTCAAGGAAACATAATAGAGGTGTACACTTTAAATCTTGAGATCAATTCTTGCACTGTGTTTTTAACCAAGATTCTTGTCTACTGGATGGCCCCTCTATTTATTTCTTTGCCTCTCCTCAGGTCATAATTGTGAGTTCTTACCCTGTGAGGCCAGTAATCCCTGCGAGAATGGAGCAGTATGTGTGGAAGAGTTGGATCAGGACCATTTCCCTTTAGGTTTCCGCTGTCACTGTCGCCGTGGCTTCACTGGTCCCCGCTGTGAAATCAATGTGGATGAGTGCAGCTCCAGCCCCTGTCTTCATGGCTTCTGCTACGATGGTACGAAACAGCTTACGTCTTCCCAAAATTTTCATGACATACACTCATGACGGAAGCAAAACTGCATGCGTGTATTTAGACATTAAAATGCCATTTATGTGTCTAATTTGATTTTGTTCACTTGCAGTGTGATAGGTAGTTTTCAGTTGCTTCACCATTGTAGATATTGTGGGTGTTGTGGTTAGAATCATTCATCTGAAGAAAGGAGCTGGACATTTTTTACTGGAGTTCACTTGATTAGTTTCTTAATATGATGTGTCAGAGAAGATCAGTCATCGATGTTGCGCTACAATTTGAATAATGGATATTAAATGACTTTGAATTAATGATTTTGAATGGTTACTCCCGTGCATTTCATCTCTAGCCTAAGTGTTTAAAAAACTATCTGATCATTAGAAAAGTGCTGAAAAGTAATAAATTCGAAATAATTATCAGTCAATGAATCTTGCTTTATTTATTTTATACTGTGAATTTGCATGATTTTGTCATAAATTTAGTTTAGTTTTGAAAAAGCATCAAAATATTTGTTTCTTCCACCCTTCCTGGCATTCTTGAAAACTGCCAGCTCTCCAGTCCAGTTTTGAGCTGGCTTATGCTTTTTCTAAAATAGTGATGGCAGTGGATCACTGTCCTCTCAGTGCTACAGTAGCCCTCCACAAGCTGTCTTGGCCAATTTTGAGCGCAGCCAGTTCACCTTAGGTTAGTGAAGGTGGATTCTTGGACCTATTGGCCAGTGCTCAGTCGCAGCCAGCCAGCCAGCCACAAGGGACAGCACTGCATAGCCACAGTGGCAGTGATGAGTAATGCTGCTGCCACCGAGGACTTACAGCATTTAATGAGAGTAATAGCATCTACACGCACCAAGACAGAGTGACAGCATAGATTACGTGGTAAATCTTTGGGATAATGAAGAATCCAGGGACCCTGACTGGGGAAGTAATAAATTCACTCCTGTAAGAACTGCAATTACCTCTGTCACTGGCTGCCTGTACCAGTGTTGTGTTGGAGAAACAGAATGATGCATCCTTGGTTAAAGTCATTAATAAATAAAGAGAGGAAGGAATGGATTATTAGCCATGGGAAATTCTAACTTCTGATGGAAGAAATTGGCGCATTTGTAGCTTCTGAATTAAGAATAGCACTGAAATTGGTCCTCTCCCTCTGTTGTGCTCTTTCCCCATCATTCAGCGTGTTGCAAGTATGTTGAGAGTGTTGCAACAAATGACAAGGCTTTCAGGCTTTCAGTGAGCAGAAATATGGTGAGACAAGGAAAGCACCTGGCAAGAAGAGGACTGAATGGCCATCGCAGACAGGTTCATTTAAAGCTGGTTAGAGTGTCAAACTGTCAGACTAAGGCATAAGGCAGTTTGGACTTTGCCAGCAACAGGTTTTACTAATACAGCCTAAGTCATTTATTTAATGGTCATACCCTTTAAATATAGAATCACAGTAGTCACTGTGCTTTATGCTCATAATCAGCACTTACCTGTGTAGAGATGTAGGACCCACAGAGATTTGAGTGAATTAATTTATGATGCAAGGTACTGTAACTATGCTCCGGCTTTTCCTGTAGTTGTAGATGGCTTTTACTGCCTTTGCAGTCCCGGTTATGCTGGACTCAGATGTGAGAAAGACATTGATGACTGCGTGAACAGTTTGTGCAGCACCAACTCAGTATGTAAGGACCTCCATCTGGTAAGTTGAAACGTTTTTCCAAGGCAGTATAATGGAGTGATGTTATAGCCTATGCTTCTGAATTGCCCAGTCCTGTAAATCGCCACAGTTGGTAACTCTCCATAAAATATTGATAGACATGAATCACATTAGTTACTGTATATTACCTTTGATGGCTGCTGTGCATTCGGTGTTTTAAAACATTTCTTTTGCAGTAAATATTAACAAGTGTGCAGTAACTCGAACATTGGCACATTATTAAAAATGAATAAACTACATCGGCATGACTTTGTGCTCCAGAGCAGCTCGCCAGTTATCTGGTTTACAGGTCCAGCATGATTCATATTGTTTTGGGTGTCTGGGGGGAAAATAAGGTAGGGAACTGTTAATATCTTATGTCCCATAGATGGCCATTATTATTTATATCTCATAATAGAAAAATTATGCCAATTACAGTGTCCCATTTATGCCTTGTAGCCAATGTACCATAATAACCAAAGGATTACCAAAGTACCCCTAGAAGGAAAACACTAATTTGTAATGATAGCGTCTCTGTTTTTAACCAATGTTGTTTTGGATCATGTGTCCAAAACAACCTGATAATTGATACCTGATAATTAGTAAATATTTAAAAAAGCTTCATCTTTATGTTTAAAGTGTAAGTCATAATAAACATAGAAATATTCAATAGGTTTTTCTTTATTTACATTTTTGATAGCCATTTAATAACTTTACAGTGTCTAAGCACATCTATAGCACGACATATTCCCCATTAAAGACCTCCACGTCCTGGTTATGCAACACATGGGTGGGCTTGACGGGAAATAAAAAATGTTTATGTCAGAAGTTAAGTTTAACAAAAAAAAGCAGAACTTTTAAAACTTGTGTCTTGAAGGCACAACTCTATTCTTGTACTTATTATACAAATGTTTTTTAAGCCAATAACATTGATATGTTGCAGCTGCGGAAAGGCCTTGGGAACCGCATGCTGCTCACTAACTGTGCAATGAGTACCAGGAGCCTTTTTCCAACAGCTGCTTTTTTTGCTAACAGATTGCAGTAGTAAAACAGATGTGTCATAGATAAAGTCCATATATTTAGCCTTTTTTTTTCCTTTTGTTACTTTTTGTTTTTTTTGTTGGGTTTTTAAAAAGGGTTTCCTTTGGGTTGTTGTTTTTAGGTTGGTTGGGACCCTTTTGCAGGCGCAATTTATTTTTTTGAAGTTTTTTTTCCCAATTTTATTTTTCTTGAATTCGTTAGGTTTTGCGGGGTTAGTTTTTAGGTTTTTACCCTGCTTTTCTTTTTTTTTGGTTTTTCGTTATTGTTTTTTTTTTTTCCGGCGGTTTTAAGGAATTAAATTTCTTCCTTCTTTAATTTTTTAAAGTCAGTCAACATATTCTACTAATAATTTTATCTGGCTCTTTTTGATGTAGTTTATAAGGAATAATATACCAATGGAAGCCTATTGTGGTGCAAAAGCTGGTTAAAACACTGTAGTGTAATTTTCTTTTTTTGGGATAAACTAAACTTCAAGTCCAAAGACAAAAGGACACCGTGTAAGAAGACGATGGGATCTGATAAGAGGAATATAATGAAATTTCCACAGGTATTTTTTTAGTCACCGTGTTTTACCGTTACATTTTTCTTGGTTCATTATTCAAATAGGGCCGTTTTTTGGAAACCCATCACATAGTCTTGTTTACAGTGCAGCTATTTCTCTCTCTGAACATTGTGTCCCACAGAGCTTTACCTTATTTTGGAGAATTGCAGTCCCTGAAGGTGACTTAGCAGCAAAAATGAGATTATGTTCTATTGCCAGGGGTAAGGAATTGGAGTCTCCTGGAGGTATCTAATTTATCATGAGATGACGGCATTTTCCCCCACCACCATAAGGCCTACAGTGTACAAATTATATCAGACAAAGTTTAACAGCTCCCCTTCAGTGTATGAAATAAATATTAGCATGCATTCAACCGCAAGTACCCGGGACCTTTCGACAGAGGGTTGGCAATGATAAATCCCAAACAACCTTTGACCATATGACTACGTTCATAACATATGCAAAGAGGAATTTAAATTAAGATGGCTTCTTGGAAAGTAATGGAAGAAAAACATTAATCTCTCTTGCTGCAATTCATTATTTTAGCACCGATTGCAGTGATGAAATAAAGGACAAGTGGTCCACATACTGTTTTGAATAGAGGAAAGGCAAGAAAATAAAAGATTAGCAATGTCTGAGCTTTGTATAAAACGTTTTTTGAATCTAAAGTACTAACAACAAATTTACTGGCTCCAGAATAATAAAAAAAAACAACCTGACAAAACTAAATCCAACGTGTTTTACATGTTTGCTTGGCTGTGAAAATATCCCTCAAAGAATACGCGGTGGTAATGCTGTACGCTTCATAAAGGTTTTGTATCATCGTATCTTGAATGTGATGGAAAAAAACAGGCTTGCATACTGTCCAGAGGGTGGGTGGTAGGAGGAATACATCAGCACAGTAATGTGGAAATGTAAGACAAGCATGACTCTTCCTCACTTTAAACAGATTTCCACAGGAAAGCTTTTTTTGTGTGTGTGTGAGTAGGAGGTTTTATTCCGCAATGTTTTCAAGAACATTGAGATGAATTAAATCAAGTATATTAAGCATTGCAACATTTGTTTTTTAAAATGCAACCAATATAAATAACGAAACAAATGAGTGGCAAAATGCCCTCTGTCTGCTCCGTAACAACTTAATTAACAGTCCCTGCATGTGAGATGTGCCTACTGCTCTCCTAAATATTCGATTCTAACCACCTGAAATGCTAACTCTACATAGTGCAGATGTGAAATGTGACTACTTTCCAGTGTTAATCTAATATTGTTTCCCTTTTTCTTGTATCGCAGCGTTATGAGTGTGTGTGTCGTTCTGGCTGGGAGGGGGAGTACTGCCAACAAGAAATTGATGAATGTTTATCACAACCCTGCAAAAACAACGCCACCTGCACAGACCTTCTCAACAGCTACAAGTAGGTGTGCGAGCTGGCTCGAGGGCAGCGTCCTCGCGAGGTGCATCAGTCACTTAAGAAATGCGGGGGGGAGAAAAGAAGCCGTTCAGAGATAGCAATATGTCCTTCCACTGGCACCGGAGATAATGAATTGCAGATGGCAGGTAAAACAAATGAGTCAATCAATGGCTCACAGCATGAAAAGGTTTCAGGGGATCTGTGACTCATTGGAGGAAAAAGCTGGTGTATCTGCTTCGGCTAATGCCCGCTCTCACTGGGGAGACATAAAAATGCTTCAGGTAGAAAAGTTGGGGGATGGAAAGGAATGCAAGGTGGAGTGGTTGTAGTGCCCGGGTACTCACTGCCACCAAGTGGAGTATTCACCTGCCTTAAGAGCAGATACTTGAGATTTACATACACTGTGGTTGGCTCTCTGTTTCTCTGTCTCCATCTGTCTCTCTTTCTGTCTAGAACGCATACATTTCCATTAAATTCCCACTCAGCACTCTAACCTCTTGTGTCCTGCATTCAGCTGTCCAGAATTAAAAGCTGCTCTGACCAGTAGTGCAGTTAAACACTAAAATTCGTACTTTCTCTAACAGAGATCCAGGAGATCAGTGTGGAGAACGCGTGCACTGTAACACTGAGGTTTTGTGGGTAATTTAAATTATCATTAAAAAAAAAAGCAAGCTATTCAGGAGTTTTTCTGCAGCAACTCCCAGAACATCTGCTAAATGCATTTTTAGCCTAATTGTCCCAAAGAGTATGACTGCTATAGCCTTTAGAACATTTTAAAAAGTGTTTATTCATTTACATTTATGGCAAAATAACCTCTACTGTGTAACATCTCCTCTCTGGTGTATGTAAGGTGTTTGTGCTCACGAGGCTGGACAGGTGTGGACTGTACAGAGGATGTGAATGAGTGCGATTCTGGCCCTTGTCTAAATGGAGCTCAGTGTCAGGAGTCAGACATACCTGGGGAGTTCTCCTGCACCTGTCCCCCCTTCTTCAGTGGCCCCTTGTGCAACCAGCCTTATGACCCGTGTGACCTCCTCCACAATCCCTGCCTACACAACTCCACCTGCCTGACACGCTCCAATGGAACAGCTTCCTGCAGATGCCCAGCTGGTGAGTGAACTCGGCGCCGCAGCCTCGTACTCGTGGTGTTTTTATTTTCGACTTATTACCCAGCATAATCGTAGAATCTTGTTCAACAGAATTGTTTAAAACTTGAGGGATTTAAAAATTACAAACAGCATAATTTCATTGGAATAAAAAGAAAGTAGCACTACCCATTTGAAAATCGTTCTTTTATCCTCCCTCTGAAATGTGCTTTTCCTCAAAGTTGCTGTAAAACAAAGGTTTAATGTCTTTGTGTGCATGAATAAAATGGTAAAATGTGCTCCTGATGCCTAAAAAATGTGCCATAAAGAAAACATACACGGGTGATTTAAAATAAAAGACATACTTTTTTCTGTAATATGGAGAAGAATATAAGTGGAATATGGCGGGGTTTTGCTATTATATGGGTTAAAAGGAGTGTTAGACATAATGAAAGTAGAGTTTTTCATGCTCCACTTTAATTTTTGCATAAGAAATGGTCAACAAACCCAGACATTGGTGTCTTTTGCTTGCTTTTCTCCTCATTGCATTAAAACTAAATTAAACTGAATACTTATTTAGCAGTAAATCTGTGTATCAGTGCCAGCTGGGTCATCATAATGCATACTATATTCTAAGGTAAAGACCTAACAGACACATGGTGAATCAGCAGGTACTACCACTCTTTAATATGATTCTTATTTATAAAAACATTACTGTATACAAGACACATAATCTTTTAGCAAGACCCAGTTAGTCTAATGTAAGTTCATGAGCACCTAAAAATTTTTGGACATTTTAATGAAATTATTGAACCACTTTGGTCTGTTTTATATGCATAATACATATTCTACATCACAATCTTTTATTCTTTTTTTTTGTTTGTTTTGAAGTCTAATCAATACACAATCACAAATTGGGAAATTGTCAGGGATAAATTACATCTTTTGTGCAAATTAACAGTATATCTGTAAAGTTGTTTAATCATTATTCACTGTCATCGTCATTATGTTTCTAGACTTTCTACCATTGCCTATGATTGGGCAATAAATTGGTGCATCCCTACTAATTGTTGCAGCAGGAACAATAGATGCTTGGCTAAAGACAGATGCTAATATTGAACGTCTTGAATTCACGCATGCATCCAAATATCTTCGTCACGTCACTGATAATGCAAAATTAGCTGTTTTTTCTTCAACGTGTACATATTCTCAATATTCCCATTTACAAGCAGATTGCAAACTAACGCCCGTTCAAATTTGCAGCTAACAGACACAGAAGGATGAAAGAACTGTGGGTGACTAAGGAGTCAGACTGTAAATTATATTAAAAGAAAATAAAGCATTGACCTCGTTTAGTACTGGCTCCTTCTCGCTCATTCACATGCCCTCGCAGGCATAAATAACTCGGGCATGCACATCCACTCAGATGTAAATGAAACACAGGAAAATCTGTTTTATGTTCAATTCATGAGATCAGTCAGGTTTTTGTTTCACAAGCAACATATTGGAATAGAGCAATGGCAATGATTGTTTTCTTCGTTAAAATGATCTATTACGATGTTTATCAGTAAAATCTTGTTAGCTTGTAAATTGTAAATGCAATATCATTTTAACATAGGCTTTCATTGTGGAGGTTAAGACGGTATAGGGTTATGTTGTACCTAATGGCTCCATCAGCAAAGAGATGAAAAGATGTTGCCAGATATAAATAGAGCGGCTGGGTTAGTTTCAGAAAGCTTCCTTCGAGAGGAATAGGAAATTAGGCGCTGCATACATTACACCAAGAGCTTTGCGTGGGTTTGGTTGTTTTCACTTCACACAACCGTGACTCACCTACTCTCCATTATTATTCACCTTAAATCCATCCTCCATAGCTACTACACAATAAACATAAAGGAACCCATGGCTTGATCCCAGTGCAGCTGTTTTAAAAACTTGTTATTTAGTATTCACTGTAGGTTATTTGTCAGGGAAATTGTCTAACACTGTTGTTCAGACTAATTGAAAATAAAATTTGTCTGCATATGCATCTAAGATTTAGTACATTAAGCACATCCCAGTGCATAGACAAAAGCTTTTACACAATACAGCAAATATTGTCAAGGTAACTGAATTAAGGAGAATGATTTCTATGCTTTTAAATGACACTAAATGCTTGCAAATACTGTGTCTATGTTCAGTGTAGCATCATTAAGTGTTTATAAGAAGAAAATTGAGTTAAAAATTAAAATTCAGAACCTCTTATTTGCTTTTAGATACCGAGTCTTAAATATGTAAATAGAAACATGGCAGCTTCATTCTGTGGTTTTTGCAAAGATCAAGCGAGACCAATGATCCACATTCAAGTAAAGAGAGCATGTGCTCTTTTATAAAGGCATGCTTAGCTGTTAAGGAAGTTGCACCATGGTAAAACAAGCCTCAGGATAAACATGAAGGCTTGTGTTGTTAATAAGGTTAGTTACTGAGATACAGTTAACTAAGATTAAATACATATTTTTAATTAATTATAACTTTGTATTAGCAAACACATGCAGGTGAATATAAGAATCTTTGCTAAAAACAACAATCAGTAAACAGTTTATGTAGTCTTGTGATAAAAAATTTAAATGCAATGTAGGGAAACTTAACAATATCTTAAATACCATCTCCTGCATGGTGAAAATAATACAAACATGTAAATAAAATTTAAAAAAAGCACTTTGCTGCTACATCCATTCTGCTAATGTTGTTTACTTTAACCTTCTTTGCTCATATCTGGTTTTGTTCTGTAATAAACTGCTGCATCTAACAAAACAAAAGTTGCTAATTTCAGCTGTTGGGTTGTAATGCATAATCCATGTTTGGAATAACAGGTGTTCTATTCTTTCCATTTCACCAGAATTGCATGAGTGCAACTGAAGAAGCACTGGTATTCATTGTGATGATGCCTCTGAGGCACTGCTAATGCTGCGATAATAGATGGCGGCTGTCAAACCTTTCATAGCCAGCCCTGTGACAGTATCTGATGGCTGCTGACAGGGGTCTTTTATAAAAGCTAAGTGCTTTAACTTTAGTGGTCATTATACCAAACTTGCTTTACTGAAGAGATTACAAAGTTGGCTGTGTGGTCTTAGCTTTCTCAAGAAACTTCACTAGACTCTACGCATCTAACAAAAAGGTTGATATGGCAAGTTTAGTGTTCATCAGCTTAGCAGGATCTAAAAGGCAGCAATTAGGCGGTTTCTACTGGGAGCGGCATTAAAGGGATTTGTAAAACACAGCCACAATGGAAATGAGTTCTGTCTACAAAGGTGTACTGTGAGAAGCTGGGGGCCAAAATAAAACCAGAGCAAGCTGAAAGACTCTTCTTGAAAAAACACAGGTGAAGCAGTTATCCTCTTTTGATTGTAGAGGGCTCCTGTAGGAAGTTTTTGTTCTTACTAGCAGAGACACTCCACTGAGGCTCTGGCCAGGAGGCCTAAGTCATCTTGCCTGACCAGCACAGATGTTCCACTTTCCTCTTAATGAGGAGCCTCAGCAGGGAGTGCCAAACCTGATAGAAGAGCAACCTGAAAATGGGAGAGTTAGGGTAGAAGGTTGAGGTGAGGGTTGCTGGCCGACAACTGCAACAAATGAAACAAACAACACATGGCATCACTCAGCCAAGACTGCGGTACAAGGTGGAGTTGCATCAGAGTCTCGCACACAATCTATAGTCTGTGCTGTCCTTGCTCGGTTTGCTGAATTCCTTGAGCAAAGACAAGTTCACATGTGTAAACTTTAATCTTATCTTGGACCTTTCCTGCACATTCTCTGCCTCTGCCGTTTAGTCAAGGCTCCATCCACTTAAACTATCTGAAGAGCGGAAAGGCTATATTTATGCTTTTTTTCCCTTTGAATTTAATTAATAGAAACTACAGCTTAATTAATAAAACTTCAGCTTTAGTCATTTTTCTTTGAGATTTGTGTCAGTGGAGTTCAATTTTGAGTTACCTTTTTTTTCTTTATTTTTTTTAATCACTGAGATTGTAAATAATTCTCACATAGTTACTTTATGTAGTTCTCATGGATTTTGTAAAACTGATTATAGGATTCCTTCGAGACTTCAAGACAAAACATGTCAAAACATTCTAACCTTTTGATAATTCCATCAGAATTACTGATTATTATTCTGGATGTGAAATATTTATAATTGTCAATTATTTAAAATGATAATATTCTATGGATTAGATTAATAGATTGTAATTCTAGTTTCATTCGTAGGTTCTTTAGGATGGCATTTTCAATGGATATCACACTATGCCACTGCAGCACTTAACGTTTTAGACTTGTTAGTTAAAGTGCCTATATTCATTATGAGCTTTTTATTGGTTTTTGGGTGACAAGTTGGCATTTTTAAGTGTTAAACGTGAGCTGTGTGATATGAGGACAATCGCTTTGCCTCTAGTCCATTAAATGAAGTGGAGACTTTTTTTTTTTTTTTTTCATTTTTGCAGTACAGGGAATTAATTCAAAAGCATTGTGTGGTCTCTTCACATGGAAAAACCATTTGGTCTCCATGGTTCAGAATATACCCAGAGGTGTTCCTGGCCAGATGGAGAACAAACCCCTTTATTTGCATGGCATGCTACACTAGCCTTCACCTTCCACAAGATTGAGATTGTGTCCTACCAAACAGTTGGTTAATGAGCTACTGTGGAGCTATGCCAACAAGAGAACTGACACATAGCTAATATGATACTGAAAAAGATGTGTGGAAAATATGTGTTGCCAAAATGTGTTGGAAAAAGTCTCAGTAGATTCATTTTAGGTGATTATTCTTTTTTATAGAGGGGGCAGACTCTATGACTTATAGCGGACATGTGTCAGTTAATAAACCAGATGCCCTGGCAGATGTATAGCAAGATCACTGAGACTTTTCATTATCTTAGTATAAGGAATTAGAAATACAGATACTGTAGGTTCAGTCAACTTAGTGTATTTTGCCCTTTATCGTGTGCTGTTCTAGATTATTATGATTACCATCTTTATGATGAGCTTTTTTAT